CCCAACTACAACAACCACTGGCAAGAAGCCAGAAATAGAAACACTAATCGTCAACCAAACCAATATCACGTACCCTACAACGGCCCTGTCTTCCATCGACCTCTACCACCTACCAATCGCCGACCACCAACCAACCCATCCAGCTATATCCCACCCCATCGCCGACCTACCTACAACACAGCCTACCAATCAAGAGGTAACCATCGACCTGACCAACAACAGAAACGACTACCAGCCCACCGACGCCAACCAGTCCCCACTCATAAGGAGGAAGAACCCTTTGTGAAGGTGTTCTTCCAAGTTTTGCAGTGCCTCCATCATTTGGCAATCCTTACCCTTCAACAGCAAGGCCAACCAGCATTTACCTTCAAACGCAAAGTCTCTGAGTTGGATAGTTTTATCCGTCCAGCAATGAAAACATCAGCTGTCGACGCGAATATTAGATCCCTCAATCGGACATGGCTCTGTAAGGTTACGCAGGTCCTGACCGACCATTACCAAACCACACTTCAAGAGAAGCTGACCACCATTCGTACCAAGTCTTTATCATCACCTGCCGTCGACCGCATCGTTTCTCATGCCCTGTCCTGGGCCCGTTGCTCCTATGGGAAACGTCTCACTCAAGCTGTAATTTCCAAATTCTACCAAACCATCAACGAAACAAAAACCAGAGTAACCATATCTCTACCAACTGAAATGGACACTACACCTGCACCATCTAGAGCTACCACGCTGCCGAACCAAACCCCTAAACGAGCCCGAAGTTCACCTACTCCTAGTCCAGCAGACATAGGTAAACGCTCTCGTAGAGAGGGCACACCCCTTCTCTTTTCACTTTCAGACTCGTCTTCCCCTTCCACACCATCTGAATCTTCACCACGTGATCCAGGATCCGCCGTCCCTTTCTTCCTTCTGTGCGTTTTTAGACCAGCAAACCACCCCTCAGTCTCCATCCAAGTCGAGACATGTATCCAGACCTTCCCCTCCTCGAACCAGATCCCAGTCCGTTCCCAATGCTACAATTCTAACAACTACCAAACCAGTACCAATCACACCGTCAACGACCATTATATCCGCTACCAAACCGTATTATCACCAAGGACAAATCATTATGGAAACTACCTGCTCTAAAGAAATCAACCTTAATAATTGGATCATCTAACCTGAATCGAATTACCAAAACCAGTTCGGACACCGAAATACATTCTTACCCCGGTGCCCAAAACCATCACATACAGTCAATCCTGGAATAATACAACCATGATCCCAAACCTACTACCATTATTCTTCATGTAGGCCTCAACAACCGTGATCAGATACCAAAGACCTCCTTTAACCAAGCCCAGAAATTAATCGCCACAGCCAACAAAACCTTCCCAAACTCCAAGATCCTCTTCACATGTATACCCATTTCAAATAAAATCTCGAAGAAAGCACAACAGAACCTCAGCACCCTCAACAACATGATGATGGAGTCCAGTATCAACAGCGCAACAATCTTACCACCCTACGAAGAAGAATTCGAAACAGTTGATAATCTTCATTGGTCTCCAGAAACAGCAAATAGCATTTATTTGTTTTGGATACACCAGCTTCAAGCATCGAGTAAGTCTTTAAACTAATTACTGGGGATAAAAATACTGAGAGGCCACCGCTAGGCCAAACTGTAGTTAACTTGAGCTGCAAAATTCTCACACCCCTTCAGCATTCAATCTTAGACCGTGGACTTAAGTTTATTCCCACACCAAAGATAGCTAACTTGAATTATCTCTGACCATCCATTGAACGATTTCAACGAAATCTTAGCTGCACATATTTTTTTCGAAACCACCCCCCACGTGGTGCTAGAACAATGTTTATTCCTAAATCCACGTGGACACCCCCTCAGGCCGCCATCCATCCTGAAATGAACAGTGAACCTTTCCATAGCACACGAAAAGCCTAATCTCACACGAGTGGAACGTGAAGCGTTAAACTTACTTAAGAAAGACGATAGCATTGTTATTAAAAAGAGTGACAAAGGTTCATGTTGTGTCATTCTGAATAGGGAGGATTACGTTTCAGAAGCAGAGAATCAACTGAATAATCCTAAACATTATGCCATTTTACCGAAACCAATTTTCAAAGAAACTGCTAACATGATTAATAATATTCTTGCCGATTTAGTCAAAACTAGTTATCTCAAACAGAAACAATATGACTATCTGTCTGCCAAACCTGATTGTCGCGAGAGACATTTGTACACTTTGCCTAAAATCCATAAGAATCCAACCAAGGAGTGGTTTATCTCGAATAAAATCCCTAAAGGCCGCCCGATTATATCTGACTGTGGTAGTGAGTCATATGCAGTGTCAGAATACATTGATCATTTCTTACTACCTCTAGCATGCCAACATCGCGCCTACCTTAAAGACACAACCGATTTTGTCAATGAAATAAAAAATCTTCGAGTTCCCTCTAATGCTATTTTAATTTCTATCGACGTTTCTTCTATGTATACCAATATCGATAACACTACTGGTTTAACGGCAGTTCGTAAAGCTTTTAATAGAAACCCAGATCCAAACAGACCCGACGATGCAATTCTACAGCTTTTAGAGATTTGTCTTAGTCGAAACGATTTCACATTTAATGGTAAAACATATTTACAAACTTCAGGGACAGCAATGGGCAAACGATTCGCCCCTTCGTACGCAAACCTTTTCATGGCAGAGTGGGAACGTGAGGTGTTGCCACTCTGTCCATTTGACCCACTTTTTTACGGAAGTTTTTTGGATGACATTTTTATGGTTTGGACTTATTCTATCGAACAGTTTTGGGAATTCTTTGAAATTCTCGACAACCACCATCCTTCTATCAAACTAACCGCAAACGTGAGTGACAAAAGCATAGACTTTCTCGATACCACAGTCTTTAAGGGAGATTCCATAGCAGAAACAAATAAATTGGATATTATAGTGTATTTCAAAGAAACTGAAACTCATCAACTCTTGCACAAGAGCTCCTTTCACCCAAAACATACCTTTTCTGGTATAATTAAGTCACAAGTTTTACGATTTCATCGAATTTGTACAAGATCTTCTGATTTCAACCAAGCCTGTACGATTGTTTTCTCAAAACTGAAAGAGCGTGGATACTTTAAACGATTTTTACGAAACATTAAAAATTCCACCTTAGCACAGATAGCAGCTAAAAACAGACTTTATGCCGAAGTACCTCCAGGTTTAAGAAGTGCTCCATGTTTGTCCAGTAGATGCAAAACATGTCCCTTTATATCAGAAACTCATTATTTTGTAAGCAACTCTACGAATAAAAGGTACCCGATCCAGGAACATCTAACATGTGAACATTCGAATGTAATATATTTAATTTCATGCCAAACAATATGTAGGAGAAACTAAGAATAATTTACGAACTCGCTTTAATGCTCATAGGTCAGACATCAAATTAAAGAAAGACAAGCCTGTTTCTAATCATTTCAACCTCGACGACCATTCAATAGACGATCTCGCCCTAATCCCAATTGAGCGTATAGAAATTGACTTGCCCGAAGATGAAACTACTAAATTCCGTCAATCTAGGGAGGCCCATTGGATTGAGACATTGAATACAGCAAGACCTATAGGACTAAATATTCATCATAATGTAGGCATAACACCCTTTGTTGTCCCGTTTAATACAACCAGCAATCGAGCAAGCAAGATAGTTCATGCCCACTATAAGAGCCTTCAAGTGAAATTCCCCCATGTCTATAAGCAGAAAATGATAGTTGCATATTCAAAAAATAAGAACTTAAATGATAATATTGTTCATAGTAAACTAAAAACAATCAGTACATAACAGATACTATACTTATGAATTCTAATTTCAGATCAGAATAAGAACAGAAGAAAACCCAATATCAAGACCCTTAATCCTAATTTCTAAATAAAGTGTCTGCTCCACCCTAGGCCTGTACATTTGGGAGAATCAAACCCTCCCTTCCCCGAAATCCAAAACCATTCATCTGATTATGACAAAATTCAAACTTGACCGATATCTCATCAATATATTCATGCTTACTAAGTTTCATCAAGATGGTATCAAAATTGTAGCCTTCATTGGGCATACAAGGCAATTTTAACGCAATTTTACTATGTCAAGGGCAATAACTCTGAGACCATTCATCCGATTATTACCAATTTCAAACTTGACCGAGATCTCATCAATATGTAAGTGCATACTAAATTTTATCAAGATCAGATAAAAATTTCAGCCTTAATCGTGCATACAAGCCAAATTTAACGCCTTTTTACCAAGTCAAGAGCAATAACTCTGAAACTGTTTATCCGATTATTACCAATTTCAAACTTGACCCAGATCTCATCAATATAAACATGCATACTAAGTTTCATCAAGATCAGATAAAAATTGCAGCCTCTATTTTGAATATAAGCCAAATTTAATGCGTTTCTAGTAAGTCAAGGGCAATAACTCTAAAACCGTTCATCCGATTATTACCAATTTCAAACTGACCGAAATCTTATCTATATATACATGCATACCAAGTTTCATCAAGATCAGATAAAAACTGTAGTGCATACAACAAATGTGGACGGACGAACAGGGGCGACAGCAATATACGTCCATGTGGGCGTCCATGTGGGCGTATAAAAATGGTTGTTGCTATTTTTCTTTCAATTGCTCCAAAATCATGCTACATTAGGCTCACTAACTGAATGTAGTCAATGAGTAGTCAGAATGTCTCTATTCAAAATATTATGATTATGCTTGGTTATGTCAAGAAAATGGCGGCTCAATTATTGTGATAATTCGATGACCTTGAACACATCAACTTCACTCATAATGCCACTCGACCCAAATAAATATGAAATTTAGTTGTTTGTTTGTTTGGTTTTTTTTGTAGGTAATGTAAGGGAGTAATAGTCCGGCTTGTTTAGTTTAGATTTCTATTTTATAAATAAAGTGGACTGCTCATCTTGAGTATCTGACTCAGACGAGGATGTGTAAAGGAATATCGTTGCTCAACTATACCTTGCTTCAAAAATAACTTCATCTGTAGTAGTCATACCACCATAGTCTATCAATTTGGCTCCATTTGTCTTTTCTCCATGGACTGGAACATGTCTGAATATTATATTTTCAATGTCTTCTACCACCAAGAATCTCATCGGCAACACCTTAACAACAGAATGTGGATACCTGGGATTGGACACAATGACCTTCACCTCATAATCTTCAGCTAAGTTATATCTATGGGTTGCAATACTTGTTCTGCCAGAACTAAAATTGAAAGAATTCAAAGTATTATAAAACCACAACATTGTTGTATTTAAAGAAATAATATCTACTAGAATGAATATAGAGTTTGAGATTCAAACTTAATCACTTATCTTTCCAAGTAACAAAAGTCAAATGGAATGTAAGCTATCAGGAGAAAGTTTTGCTGTATCTCCACCAGAATAATAACAGTGCTTGACTGTAACTACTATTACTAAACCAGTCCACAATAGTTGAACATCATTGTTTACACTAATAACAACTAG